GGCCACGCGGGGCGAGGGGCCCCCCCTCCGGCCGTCCTGCCCTCTCACCCGCCTGGTCGCGTTCTCCTAGGGCAGCCATTCTGGACGAGAAGCGGCAGCTGGAGGGGCGCCTGGGGCAAATGGAAGAGGAGCTGGAGGAGGAGCAGAGCAACGCGGAGCTGCTCGGTGACCGCTACCGCAAGCTGCTGCTGCAGGTGAGCCGCCCAGCCCCGCGGCCGGCCCACCGACCCCACCAGAACCTCGGGCCTCTTATTCAACAGACATAACAAAAGGAGTGCCTGGGTTGGGTTTTGAAGGTTGAATAGGAGTTCTCAGGAAGGGAGGTAGTGATGCCTTCATTCGCTTGTATTTCTGAGGCGTCTTGAGAGCTGAGCCCAGAGATGAACTACACTGTCACATTATAGGTGGCATGTGCGGCAATAGGAGTATCCTGGGCCCAGGGGGGAGGTAGCGGGAATTGGTCCCTGCAAGAGTCACAAGAAGAGAGAGAGAGAGAGAGAGAGAGAGAGAGAGAGAGAGAGAGAGAAGGAAAGAGAACATGGATTTGTTGCTCTAGTTATTTATGCATTCATTGGTTGCCCTGACTGGGTATCACCAGTGTCCTTGAAGGAAGGAAGGAAGAAAGGAGGAAGGAAGGAAGGAAGGAAGGAAGGAACCAGTAATCCTGAATTTGACTTGGATGTGTTCACACTTGTGTGTATGAGTTATTTTATATAGATTCATCCTCTGTCCATCCAAAAGGCCTAGAAACAATCATCAATCTCGTAGGATTGAGCACCCCTGCACTCTAAATTGTGGTCTAGCCCTGGCTGGTTTGGCTCATGGATAGAGTGTCAGCCATGCGGACTGAGTAGTCCTGGGTTTTATTCCTGTCAGGGCACATGCCCGGGTGGCAGGCTCGATCCCCGGTGTGGAGCAGTGTGGGGCGTGCAGGAGGCAGCTGATCAGTGATTCTCTTTCATCATTGATGTTTCTACCTCTCGCCCTCTCCCTTCCTCTCTAAAACATTTTTTTTAAGTAGCCACTTCCCTTTTTTTAAAAAAAATCGCATTCATGGAGGCCACTAAGACCTGCTGTATCACAGTCTCTGGAGGGTGAGACCATGCAGTCTGCATTTTTTTTTTCATAAGTTTCCCAGATGATCCTGTTGCAAAAAAAAAAAAAGTGTGATAACCCTTGGAATAGACTCATTCACAGTCAGAGGTAGAATTTATAGCATTTAAGCAAGTTTGTGATAGTCTTGTGGGCTTTTTAAAATAGCAAAAACCTGTTCTGGTTTTGTTTAGAGCATCGTCCCGATACGCCAAGGTTGTGGGTTTGATCCCCGGTCAGGGCACCTACAAGAAGCAACCAATGACTGCATAAATGAGCGGAACAACAAATTGATGTTTCTCTCTCTCCCTTCCCCTCTCTCTCTAAAATCAATCAATAACTTTCTTTTTCTAAAATAGCACAAATCTATCCAAAAAGTAATGCTGTCGGCTGATAGGTGGATCTGGAAAAAACACACGTTCATGTGTGTTGAGTATTTAGTGTGTATCAGCTTTGTGCTCTGCACTTGGCAATCATCCGCCTACTCAGTTGTGGGAGGTGCTTGGACTCAGCCACCACCTCTCCTCTGAGACACCCTGCCTCTCCCGCTGCTCCAGGTGGAATCACTGACCACAGAGTTGTCCGCTGAGCGCAGCTTCTCAGCCAAGGCCGAGAGCGGGCGGCAGCAGCTGGAGCGGCAGATTCAGGAGCTCCGAGAACGCCTGGGTGAGGAGGACGCAGGGGCCCGGGCCCGCCAGAAGATGACCATCGCTGCTCTCGAGTCGAAGCTGGCCCAGGCCGAGGAACAGCTGGAGCAGGAAAGCAGGTAGGTGGGAGAGGGGGGGCGTGGCTGGGGGGGCGACCCTCACATTCTGGTCAATGAGATGAAGGGGAGTTGTATTACAAATATCTGGTTTGAAACATCTCAAAGGCATCATAATGCTAATGGTTGCTGACTTCCTGTATCATTTAAGAGGCTTTGAGCTGCAAGAACCTGTACTTCCACTACAAGTATGATTTAAACAGTAATGTAGCAGGTAGCTAAAGCTGCCCTGTACTTCTACAAGTATGATTTAAACAGTAATGTAGCAGGTAGCTAAAGCTGCATAACAAATATCCTAAAACTTAGTGGCTTAAAACAACAACCATTTCCCCTGAAACCAAATAATTTTATTAACCAACTAGAGACCTAGTGCATGAAATTCATGCATGGGTGGGGTCCCTCAGCCCAGCCTGCACCCTCTCCAATCTGGGGCCCATCGGGGGATGTCCAACTGCAGGTTTAGGCCCGATCCCTGCAGGATTGAGCCTAAACCAGCAGTCGGACATCCCTCTTGCAATCCGGGACCACTGGCTCCTAACCGCTCACCTGCCTGCCTGCCTGATCACCCCTAACCACTCTGCCTGCCTGCCTGCCTGATGCCCCTAACCACCTCTGCCTGCCTGCCTGATCACCCCTAACTGCCTCTGCCTGTCTGCCTGATCTCCCCTAACTGTTCCCCTGCTGGCCTAATCACCCCTAACTTCCTCTGCCTGCCTGCCTGGTCGCTCCTAACTGCCCTCCCCTGCCAACCTGATCGCTCCTAACCACCTCTGCCTCGGCTCCTGCCACAGTGGCTTTGTCCAGAAGGACGTCTGGAAGATGTCTGGTCTAATTAGCATATTACTCTTTTATTAGTATACATGTCACCCCAAGAAATCCAATTAAAAATTAGCATTTGCCACATGCATAATAAGATTGAACACGTTTTCATTTGCTTACTGGCATTTTGGATAGCCTCTTTTGTGAAATAACTGCCTGTTTAAGTCTTTTGCCCATTAAACAATGACAACCACCACCATTTATTATTACTCCTGAGTCTTTGGACTGGCTGCTGGGTCAGCTGTTCTGAGCCTACAGGGTCTCACTCGTGCACCTTTGCTCACCTGAGGGTCAGCTAGATTGGTTTGCTGATCTTGGCTGGCTCTCCCATGTCGAAGGTCTCACCTGGGACAACGAGGCTAACTGTCTCTGCTCCAGGCTGGCCCAGGATTGCTCACATGGCAGAGTCAAGGCTCCAAGAGGGAGGGAAAGTGTTAAAGGCGTTCAGGGCCCTAGACTTGAAACTGGTACAATGTCACTTCTGCTGCATCCTGTTACTCCAGCTCAGATTTAATGGGACGGAGAAATGAACTCCACCTCTTTTTTTTTTTTAATATATTTTTATTGATTTCAGAGAGGAAGGGAGAGAGAGAGAGATAGAAACATCAATGATGAGAGAGAATCATTGACTGGATGCCTCCTGCTCGCCCCCTACTGGGGATCAAGCTCGCAACTTGGGCATGTGCCCTTGATCGGAATCGAACCCAGGACCCCCCAGTCCTCAGGCCGACGCTCTATCCACTGAACCAAACCAGCCAGGGCTGGACTCTACCTCTTGAGGGAGCAGCTGCAAAGTCATATTGCGAAGGTGGATGCAGAAAGGGGTGACAGTTGAGGCCGTTTCTGTCATCAATTTATCACGAAGGATGTCCTTTCCTCGAACGATAAGGAGCTGGGCAGCTGAGTGATGACAGGGCCCTGGGTCAGCGTCTGTGTAGCTCCCCTCATGGTCACAAAGTGGCTGCCCTTGAACCAAACATCACACCCATACATCCATGTTCAAAGCCAGGAAACAGCAGCTGTGTGGGGCTGAGAGAGTTTCCGTCTGCAGGGCTAGCTGGGAGGCCAGGGAGGAGGCCGGATGCTGGTCCAGGCAGAAGATGAGGCCTGAGCAGGGGCTGGTGCCGTGAGAATGGACAGGAGGGATGAAGAAGAGAAAAGTTGGGGGGAGAAGAAATGGAGCTGGGGGCTGATGGGCTATTGGAGGTGTAGGAGGAAGAGGACAATGTTTGGGGTTCAGGCCTGGTGACTGGGAAGGCATTGCAGGTTGGGGGAGGATATTGAACTCATTGGGGAGCATGAGAGTGAGGGGTCTCAGGCACAGGCCGAAGGAACCGGCCCCAGAGGTTCATGAAGAAGAGGTTCTGGTCCATGGGATTACCAAGGGCCCAGGGACTCATGGGAAATGTAGTTTGAGGTCTCTGGGGAGGCTTTCCAGAGGCAAATGGCCCCTTCCCCCATTATACAGATGAAGAAACTGAGGCTCGGAGGGTGTTAGTGATCTGCTAAAAGTCCCCCTGGGAGCAAGGAGTGGCCAGCTGACCAGCAGCTAAAGGAGTCTCCCCTGCACCCCGTTCCCTGGCTCGGTGTCCTCCCACTTCCCCCATCCCCGTGCCTGCCTCTCAGCACATCTGGGGCTCCTGGGTCCATTACTTGGGAGCCTCATTGCATGGACTTCACCCTGTGTGTGGTGGCCCACGCAGGAGAGGACGGATGAGCAGGGATGGGGAAATCTGAAACAGGAGGAAAAGGCTTTGAGAGGGGAGAGGAGGTGAGCTTGGCTCCGGGTGTCTGGCCTGCAGATCTAGGTGGACCTCCGGGCATGGGAAAGAAGAGCAGGTGTGGGAGACAGTGCTGGGCCCAGCAGGGAATGTGAGGGGTGTCGGGACCTGGGGGGCTGCTGAGGCCCGAGGCTGAAGCAGGCTGGTGCTCAGGGGACAGGTTGAGCAACACCAGCCTGTTGATAACTGGAACCTGGGGCAGGTGAGTTTGTCCAGGGAAAGTGTGTGCACGAGAAAGGGAGATGATGACAGAGAAGACAGAGCTTCATGCTTCCGGAGTGTTCCACAGACAGACAGACAGAGAAGAACATTGAGAAAGAAAAGACAGAGGGAGAAAGAAAATTCCCGGCCCAGGAGGGAAGGTCAGGTGGGTGGGGATGAGGCCTGAGCTGGGGGTTAAGGCTGTGAGGACAGAGAGGAGGGGGCAGTGGGACAGGGTTTGGGTACTGACAAGCTGGGGGCCGGGGGGCACGGGGCAAAGGAGACACAAGGAGCCAAGACAGTGCCCATGGTTTGACCAGGGAACGGTGGTCAGAGGCCCAGCTCCTGAGTGGAGGTTTAGGGGACATACAGTTGAGTGGGGGGACCCAGTTGGATATAGAAAACTGATGGAGATGCTTTAACGAACATCAGGCACCCAGCTGCCTTGGCTCAGTGATTGAGCATCGACCTATGAACCAGGATTTCAGAGTTCGATTCCCGATCAGGGCACATGCCCAGGTTTGGGGCTCCATCCCCAGTGGGGGATGTGCAGGAGGCAGCCGATCAATGATTCTCTCTCATTGTTGTTTCTATCTCTCCCTCTCCTTTCCTCTCTGAAATTAATTTTAAAAATATATTTAAAGTCCTATATAATAAAAGCCTAATATGCTAAATGCCCGGTCGTGTGGTCGTCTGTCCAACCAATCAAAGCGTAATATGCTAATGATATGCTAAGGTCGCTCAACCACTCACTATGATGTGCACTGACCACCAGGGGGCAGACGCTCCAACCGGTAGGTTAGCTTGCTGCTGGGGTCCGGCCAATTGGGACTGAGTGAGATGGGCCGGACATGCCCTGGAGTCCTCCCTCGGTCCCTCCCCAGCTGGCCAACCTCCTGTGTCCCTCTTTGGCCCAAATCGTGCCCCAGTGGGGTCCCTTGGCCTGGCCTGCTCCCTCTCGCAATCCAGGACCCCTCGGGGGATGTCAGAGAGCCGGTTTCGGCCCAATCCCGCAGGCCAGGCCGAGGGATCCCACTGGTGCATGAATTCGTGCACCGGGCCTCTAGTAAATAAAGAAAGAACACCAGGAACCTTAGTAGAAGCCAAGGATGTGGGGAGCCTGGGTGCTAATGGCTGAGTGAACTGTGGGAGTCATTTGGGGCTGGGAAAGCAGGAAGAGGCCAGTTGGAGAACAGGACAGCAGCCACTGGATGAGGCCAGGGGACAGAACCCAGGGTGCACCTCTCCTGACTCTCCCCTTCACTCCTCTCTCCAGGGAGCGCATCCTCTCCGGCAAACTGGTGCGCAGAGCTGAGAAGCGGCTTAAAGAGGTGGTGCTGCAGGTGGAGGAGGAGCGGAGGGTGGCCGACCAGCTCAGGGACCAGGTGAGCGGCTGACGTCACTCGGGAGCAGTGGGGGTGGGGACCACTGACAGAGAAATAGCACGCGCTACCTCTGGAGGCAGCGAGTTCCCACCACAAGAGGCAACATGGACTGGAACTAATGCAGATACCATCCGGGGCGTGGGGCCATCGCAGAGAGCTGGAGTCAGTGGCTTTGTGGTCCATAAATTAGGAATCTAGGAAAGCTGAGCTTTCTGGGAGCTGAGACAGCCAAGGAGAGGCTAGGCCAGGGCTAAAATAACACGTACTGTTTATTGAGTGCTTTCGATGAGCCAGGCACTCTGCTAGGTAGTCCATTTATTTCTTATCAGAACACTGTGGTAGTATACTGTTATTTTCCCCTCGTGTTCAGATGAGGAAACTGAGGCACAGAAAGGTGAAGCAACTTGCTCAGAGGTATTTTGCTCAGAAGTATTTTGCTAGAAAGAACTTGCATGAGAGTTCAAATCCCAGCACAGTGGCTGCAACGCCTATGCTCTTAATTATTGAGCAGTTACTGAGTTCCAAGCTCTGTGCTACCTGCTTTTCCTTTTTAAGTTCTTTTTTTAAAAGATGTTTTTATTGGTTTTAGAGAAAGGGAGAGAGATAGAGAGATAGAAACATTGATGAGAGAGAATCATCGATTGGCTGCCTCCTGCATGCCCTCCACTGGGGATCCAGCCCGCAACCCTGACTGGTAATCAAACCAGTGACCAAGAGGTTCATGAGTTGACGTTCAACCACTGAGCCACTTGCTTTATTTTTAGTGTATTTTTTATTGTTGATAGTATTACGCATATCTCCCATTTCTCCTTTTCCCCCTCTTCCCAACCCCTCCCCTCCCCGCCACCAGGTCTTCACTACCACTACTTAAATACCACTTTTTAAAAAACACATGCTTGCATTCTCTCACTAGCCTGATTTCCCAGGTGAGGAAACAAACTTTTAAAGGGGATATAATTTGCATCAAAGTCACAGTCAGTAAAGACAGAGCCTGGATCAGATTCCAGGTGTGTCAGACTCTATACAGCAGTCACCAACTGGTGGTCCACGAGGTCTGAAAGGTTGGTGAACACTGCTCTATAAAGTATCACTGTTGAGTTGACATTCAATCACTGAGCCACTTGCTTTATTTTTAGTGTATTTTTTATTGTTGATAGTATTACGCATATCTCCTGTTTTCCCTTTTCCCCCTCTTCCCAGCCCCTACCCTCCTCCCCAGGTCTTCACTACCACTACTTAAATACCACTTTTTAAAAAAATACATGCTTGCGTTCTCTCACTAGCCTGATTTCCGGGTGAAGAAACAAACTTTTAAAGGGGATATAATTGCCGGAACCATTTTGGCTCAGTGGATAGAGCGTCGGCCTGTGGACTGAAGGGTCCCAGGTTCGATTCCGGTCAAGGACATGTGCCTGGGTTGCGGGCACATCCCCAGTGGGAGATGTGCAGGAGGCAGCTGATGGATGTTTCTAACTCCCTATCTCTCTCCCTTCCTCTCTGTAAAAAATTAATAAAATATATATTTTTTTAAAAACAAAAAACAAAAAAAATAAAATAAAGGGGATATAATTTGCATCAAAGTCACAGCCAGTAAAGAGAGAGCCTGGATCAGATTCCAGGTGTGTCAGACTCTATACAGTGGTCGCCAGCCGGTGGTCCGCAGACCACTGGTGGTCCATGAGGTCCGAAAGGTTGGTGAACACTGCTCTATAAAGTATCACTGTGCCCTTAAAAGCTCAGCTGTATTCACCATTCATTCCACAATTATTTAGTACCCACTACATGCTGGGCACTGTGCTAGGCATTGGAGATATGGCTGTGAAGGACACAGAGAAGGTCCCTGCCCTCACAGAGCTCACATTTTCAGCATAGAAAAAGAAAGACACAAGAAACCAATAAACAAGCAAAGATAATTACAGATTGTGACAAAGGCTATGAAGGAAAAAAGAGAATGAAGAGCAAGGGAGACACAGAGGACTGGGGAATCCTCTCTTAGGAGGTGACATGTGAATTGATACCTGAAGCTTGAGGAAGAGCCAGGCAGAGGGAACACCAGGTGAAAAGGCCTTGGGGTTTGGAAATAAGCTTGGTGAGTTTGGAGCAAAAAGATTACCAGTGTGGCTACAGAGAAGAACTGGGTGGTGGGACAGATTGAGTGATAAGAATGATGCCTGAGGACGAGGACGACACCCAGAGACATGACCTGGCCTCCTTGCTCCCACCAAGCTGGAGAAGGGGAACCTTCGAGTGAAGCAGCTGAAGCGGCAGCTGGAGGAGGCTGAGGAAGAGGCCTCCAGGGCTCAGGCAGGTCGTCGAAGGCTGCAGCGTGAGCTGGAGGATGTCACAGAGTCTGCTGAGTCCATGAACCGCGAGGTGACCACGTTGAGGAACCGGCTCCGGTATGGCCGCCCTGCACATATACACCCTCACTCCATAAACTCCTGGCCCCCTTTCTCTGTCCCCCATTTCTCAGTCCCCCCAGCACTCTCTGTCCTTCTAAATCTCTTTGGTCTTCTGTCCCCATCATTCTCAGTCCCTCTGTCCTCATCTCTCTCTGTCCCTGTGTTCCCCCATTTCTCTCTGCCCCCACCCTTGCCCTCTGCCCATCTCTCTCCATTCCTCCCCATCTCATCTCTCCCCTCTCGTTTTATTATATCTCTCTCCACCTCTCCCTATCTCTCACTTTTCTGCTGGTCTCTCCTTTTGCCCACAGACGCGGGCCCCTCACCTTCACCACCCGCACAGTGCGCCAGGTGTTCCGACTGGAGGAGGGTGTGGCATCAGACGAGGAGGCCGAGGAGGCGGAGCCAGGTTCTGGACCACAGCCCCAGGAGTCTGATGGGCCCCAGGAAGTGCAGCCCCAGTGACCCCTCCCTGTTCCTAGCCATCAGCCCCTCCCTCCCTGGCCCTGGAGGGTGCAGGTCCCATGAACCCACCCTGTGGCTTCTTGCACTTTGGAAATGGTGCCACCTGCTGGCACCACCCACTTATCAACCGCACCCCAGAGGGCCCCCTGAGACCTCCGTAAACGCAGAACACTGAAGAGCCCAGGTTGGGAGCAGGAGGCAAGGACTGGGGCTCTCTCGCTGGAGTGGAAATTCGGGTGTAGTTTGCACGCTGTGGACCCATACAGCTCCCATACTTACTTCAGATGTTAATGGTCTTTATTAGGAAAGGAGCATGGCCCCCCTGCCCTCCTCAGCCAGGGCGGGCCATGGCCTCTCCCCCCACCCTCCCCCCGCCTTACCCCAGTCTCCCAGGACTCCCAGCCTTTGATTCCTGCAGAGGAGCAGGATAAGGGGGCCTGTCTCATCCCACTCTTTCCATGCTCTGCCCTCCCTTCTGTTGCTATTGTGTGATCACAGTCTGCTCTGGTTAGAGTCCCTGTGGGGGCTGGAGGGGTCTCCCTGACTCTCCAGCCTCCAGCTCTGGCAGAAATAAACTCCAGCCCCAACTGGACCCTACAGGGGTGGTGTGTGTTCCTGCAGGGGGGTCTCTGGTGGGTCCAGATGGGCACTGACTTCTTCCACCTGCTGGGGCTGCAGGTGGGGCAGCCTGCTGGTTCTGATCACAGCTGGCCAGTGGTGGGGACCTCCTGGTACCGGACATTGCCCCACACCCCAGCCTCCCTTCAAAGCATTGCCTCCATTATACAGATGAGGAGGCCGAGGCTCAGAGCTGCGCTGTCCCTCGCTCTACACCAGGAGTGGCAGGAGGGGTGCTTGCTGTACTCGTCTCTGGCTGACCTTCCAGTCTTTGCAAAACAATGACATTGATGACTGTTGAGTCCATGACCGTGACCGTGACCGGCTATTTAGCTATGCTGAACACCAGACGTTTGTCTCAATTCTCAGCACAACCTCCAGAGGCGAGGAGCTCCTTGCTTTCCAGCACCTAGGACAGTGCCTGGCACCTAGTTGGCTTTCATAATGTATTTGCTGAATGACTAGATCACGCCGTCCTGGCCTTTTATTGTTTTAAAACATATTTTTTACCGATCTCAGAGAGGAAGGAAGAGGGAGAGAGAGACAGAAACATCAATGCTGAGAGACTCATTGATCCGCTGCCTCTTGCACGCCCCCCACTGGGGATCAAGCCCAAAACCCGGGCATGTGCCTTTGACCGGAATGGAACCTGGGACCCTTCAGTCCCCAGGCCACCGCTCTGTCCACTGAGCCAAAGCGGCCACAGTCCGTCCTGGACTTGTAGAGTGGCAAAAGCCCAGCGAGGTCGAGACTTGCCCAAGGACACACAGCTACGAAGTCGAACCCACGCAGACTGTCTTCATAGTCAGCAATGCGGAGCGTGCTGCCCTTCGCCCCTGGGCACACACTGGGGACCCAGGTCACTCCTCCTGGGGACTAGTCACCCTCACTCAGCTCCCATCATCCAGGTGCCCTCAGACTTCCCAGTTAGGGGTGTAGGCAGGCACTCACCCCAAACCATAAAGTGAGAGCCGGTGTTCAGGGGATTTCTGGGCCCCCGGAATGCACACCCATGCATGCCGCTTTCCAGTGGTTCTCACCCTTCTGGCCCTTTAAATACAGTTCCTCATGTTGTGACCCCAACCATAAAATTATTTTCGTTGCTGCTTCATAACTGTAATGTTGCTACTGTTATGAATCGTAATGTAAATATCTGATAGGCAGGATGGTCTTAGGCGACCCCTGTGAAAAGTTCGTTTGACCCCCCCAAAGGGGTCGCGACCCACAGGTTGAGAACCGCTGCATCCGACCCCCATGTCTTGAAGACCCAATCCCTCTGTGGACCCCCAAAAGCTCCCCAACCCTCCCCGGGACACACACACACAGGATGCAGCTTTTAAATGAAAAGGAAACTTTAATCTCGGTGGGGAATGAGAGGGCGGGAGGAAGGGGGCATGACACTTTTTCTTTTGGGGGGTGACATGCGGCAGCTTCTGCATCGGGCGGTTCATGCACCCAGGGTGGGCGTGGGGGAGGCTTGGGGGAGGGGCCTGCCGACCCCCCCCTCCCTGCCCTGGGGGTGGGCTGAG